TAAAATTACCATTTTTTTCAAAAGATTTAAAACGGAGTTTGTGGAAATACCTGGACATTTTGCTCTCGTTTTTTCGGCTTTGTGAGCCTATTTGGATGTGAAAACAGCAACCTAAACCGCATTTGTATATTTGTCCTCATTGGAGATATTGACCCAAATTGGCAAGGTTAAAAGTGACGTCTGTTGAAATTGAACTCATCTGATTGTGCCACTTGTAATCATTCGTCCTTTACCTTAGGACACCTTATCCAGACCGAACATCGTTAACTCTACGATGGCTAAGGAGTTCATCGCCAGACTGTTGGAAAGTCAGTAACAATTCATTAATGTTAATAAACGTCATCTGAAGGGGGACAAATACTACACTGCTGTTTTCTGCCCTCTGAAGCAAATCGGCAGTGTGCATTTGACGTTGTTCAGTTGCTCAAAAAGTTTACCAGTTCTGGAATGTGGTTTACTTGGATCATTACACTGCTGTTTTCTGCCTTCTGAAGCAAATCGGCAGTGTGCATTTAACGTTGTTCAGTTGCTCAAAAAATTTGCCAGTTCTGGAATGTGGTTTACTTGGATCATCATAATGCAAGATTCAAATAACCAAGTTATTCGCAGTTTCATAACTCACAGAATACGAATCAAAATTTGATAGAACCACTTTGTAACCAGCTCACTTTTTGGACTAAGCCTACCATATATCAACGGTGCCAACTAAATTTAAACTCGTGTCGTTCAATCCATCTAATATCGGATTTTATTTGCATATATAGTGTTTGAATTGTTTTTTGTATCGACAGTTCGACTGGCGTCCTGCAAAGCAGTAGAACGCTTCTCGACATGAAGCCCACACCGCTATCACTGTCTGAACATTTTGTCAATCAAAGCGGCTGCCAGCAGTAAAACTGATTCGTGACCTCAATGGTGCCGATTAGAAGACCAAAGCAAATTTCCCACATCCTGACGTCAGTCCGTCAAGATTGAATGGTCAGCTATTGTTAACGTATTCTTCCATTCATGGCGACTTCTCATCCACATAATTAGCTTTACATGCTGAGCAATATATTTCTGGGTATACGGCATACTACACATGGTTTCACACATTATGGGGTGGAATTAAAACAATGAGGCTCAGAAAATATTTCACTTTTTTCAGAAAACTGTATCTCATTTGGTATACTACGGTACCGCATACGAACTTACTTGAAGACCATGAGTAACATACGCAGCACACCAGAAAGGAAAATCACCTGGTCGAAGAACATCTCACTCTTATCTATCGTATATCAAATTAGAATTGAGCACTTTGTCACTGAGACTAAATTCTAAAATACCTTGAAGAAGCTACTGGTTCACGATCAGCACAAAGTGAGTGTGAATTAGTTCATTGTTTTAGTCGGCTACTGTCTACTGACGTAGCAACTTTGTTGTCTAATGATCAAGCCAACAAAGAGAAGGAATGTTCTAACTTGGTCTTATTACAACGCACCATGTGAACGAATATAGTAGTTATGTACAATATACAGTCATTGTCCATTTGGCTGGAAAACAAGAAAAAAAGCTACTCGATCGAATGGTGGGACCGTTTCGATGTATGGATGAGGGTAATTGAACACTACCACAGGTAAAATGCAAGTGGAATCGTTCATTCGAGATCCCCTTGGAAAATCCAACCATGTAGTCTTAAGTATAAGGTGCTTTTAATGGAATTTCGCATACTGCATGTTTTGCAGCACAATGTCAATTTTTACCACTTAAAGAAAAATATTGATGGGTTGAGACATCTTAAGGGTCAGGAAACTGTGTCTCGGATTACAAGACCTGTTAAAATTTATGTGTGGAGAAATTACACGGTTTGGCTGCCATGTTACTCAAAATACTTGGCATCACAAGACACCCACGTCACTAAAGTTAATCTGTTTTTACAATGATGGATTATATTGATAAGAAGAAAGCTGAACGTACCCGTTTTGAATAAACAGGATATGTTGTTCTTTGTTCCCCGATAGAATTGACCGATTGCTATAGTAACACTGCTCCACGGTAATAAACTTGTATTGTCCTGAAAATAAGTTCAACGTTTTGTTATCCGGACTGAAAATGCGTCAAAATACTACTGGATATACCGGTAACTTTGTGCAATTTTCAAGTGGGGACTCTTTATACTTTGTTAAGGTGACTGTATAATAGCTCATAAAGTACCGCGATAATGGAAGATTGTGTTTTTAAAGCACCTTCATATGCTGCCGGACTGAACGTCACCAGAGCTTTCAATCTTTTAGAGTTTTTCCGCCCGTGTTTGCCTCCACTGGGGTTATGCGCACATCCAAACAGCTTGATCGATGAGCATCATTATTAAGCCACCTATTTATAGTTTTACATGATGAGCGTAACACATAATTTGACCCTCAGACCACTATACTTGAAAACTGATTATTCCGTTGGTCCACAATCTCGTTATGTCAGGATTTATCACTAATTGGACTTAGTTTTACTTGAGACAGTGAGATGTGTGTATGTGCTCGAACGGTCTCGTATTTTCTCTGTATCTATTTTGCGTTGGGACCAGTGTTTTTCTTTTTTTATTATAATTCCCAATCGAATAACATTCATTCATTAGACAGAGTTTCTCTTGCACCTACTTTTGATTTGAATGTTCATACAGTACGATTCAGTTACAGTTTTATCATCATACTCACTATTACACATGTCAGCTTACGCCATTCACGCTATAAGCGGATGTATATGGACCACTCAGGTGTGTACAGTAAGTGCAACCGTAGAAACAACAAGTGATTAGGAATCATAATCTACTCATCTTCATGCGGCTGGATATCTATAATAAAATAGGTTCGATTGAAGACCAACAATCTAACTTTCTCAACATAAACCCAGGCGGCGACAACTCTCCGGCCACATAACCAACCAGCCTACAACTGGGGATGAAAGTAAGTTTACCTACGGCAGAATGTTGGCCAACTGGTTCATGAGGTCTGGGAAAAAGCAAACTGCGCAAGTCAAAAGAAGTACACTGACTAAGATACTCTCAAACTGCCAAAACTAACGCAGCAGCAGTCGAAAAGCCAGGGTAGAGCTGGAACCACAGACATTCCAATCAGTAATTTTGTGCCATTGGGCTGCATCGGATTCACACATGATAATTATCTAAAGGTTAGCTACCACTGGTTTGGGAGAATAAATGTAAATTCACAGTATGTCTGCGCAGCTGAATCACACATTAGAACTACCAACAGAACTTTGACTTCAGATAATCTCAGACCAGCACACTACCGTCTCGTAAAGCGCAGTGTTCAACCTGCTTGATTCTATTTTCATTTGGATGATTGCAAGAATCGTTAGACATTTGAATCACTTCTTACAGATACGCAGTAATCATCCAACACGTGGCTCGTTTGAACCGCGGTGCAGCAACTTTTGTTACCGAACTAGAATCCTTACTAACCCTCAAACTCAAGCTAGTTTCCAACAAACTTGGGAGATAAATACATAGGGGTCCTGAGTTGTAGAAAAGCGTGAACGTTTCCAAAATTGACCGGAGTTCAAGTTTAGAGTGTAGTTAAAATTTTTTGCTAATCATTTAGTGATTTCTAACAACGATACTTCAAAAGACCTATGGGTCATTAGGTTCATTAGTAGTCGTTACTCATCTAAATCTCAAACAAAGTTAGTGTCGCACATAATAATAAACAACTGATTTAAATAGAAATCCAAAGGAGTAGCGACAAATGGTGGACGGAACCAGTGTAGGTTGAAGTGACCGTTTTATGGTACGAGAAATATAGCACACACTTCTATAACCGCTGCCATTAAAGGGACAAAATGTATCTTTGTGCCTACCTGTATTGTCCACAAGCAGAATGTCTAATCGAATTGGAGTTCCTTCCGTTGTCACGTCAATCTCTTTGTTGGCTGATGATAGCAATCGCAATTCCACCGTCATTGACTGAGTTATCTGTGCAGTGGTTCTGGTGGCACGAAAATCTTCATTCGCACCTGTAGATGATCTTCAAAATGGCGACACGAAAAATGGTGAATCAGATGCTTACACAAGATGCTATTTCAGAAGTAGGTTTTTATGATACGTGTTGAGTACAAATTAGCGAATCAAATTAATCAGTGCATACGTTCACCAAATAAACGAATAATTTGATGAGTTTTAACGGAGGCGTCCGGGGTAGTGATAAACCGAGTTGCCCGTGTGCACAGACTGTTTGATAAAGTATATGATCTATCTAGACGACTTCACGACCTCGACCTAGAAGAGTCAAATTCATTCGGAACACTTTCTTTGTGGGTTTGCCCCAATATCGAGTCCTACATAGAAATAAAGGCTCAGTTGCTTAAAAAGTTTCACCCTATTGGAAGGTGGCCTTACCGGACATCAAAATCGAAATTAAAAAATGTTTAACTGAGGGATTATTTCCCGAAAATTTTGTGATAGTTCACATGCCTTGTCTAAGTAGTTTATCTACGTAACCACTTCCCCTTTAAGTATGGACTGGACGCATCACTAAAACTTATAACGAATCCTTACGTCAGTTTCAGGGTAGGTGGCACGAAACGAAGCAGTATTTTGAATAAAATAACTCGTTAACGTTCAGCGATGGTGCCTCTGAAAGTGGCGTTAGACGAGTGACCCGTCAGGTTCACTGTGTAAAGTTCGCAATCAAAATATGGCTACCATCTTACTTTGTGTTCATATCTGGTGACCGCTTTGGTTCTGGTGCGATGCATTTGATGGGAATTTGAAGATCTTGGCTGGGAGTGCGAACTGATCTGTTGACCAGGATTTCCAAAAGCGCCTCATATTGGATGACATTCCGCTAATAATGTAAAAAGGACCAAAGGAATATATGTCAGCGCTGACGACCACAACAATAACAAATCAAACGAGTATATTTTCCGAGATCCTGTTGTATCTAAACTGGAAACCGACCATTCTGGTGCGTTGCAATCTATCGCTGTGTGAATAAGTTGGCTATTAGTTTGTTATTTACATATATATATTTTTTCAACCAAATTCGCTCAAATAGTTGTTGCGAGCTTCAAATATATGGTATATGAATGCAGTAGAAATGAAAAATATAAATGAAAACAAGAATCAGTATCCTTTTCAACACAAAGATCACCAATCGAGTTTGTCTTGGGAAGGAGTCCAGTAGCTATCGGCAACTTATAATTATTTTCCCCCATCCGTTAACTGACTGTCTGGTTTTTACCATCAACAAGCATTATTTTTAAGCACAATCTTCATCAGTATGTTGGCTATGGATTATGGTTTTTATGACACGTCCATGAGTAAAAATTCCACCCATCAAAATACAATCAAACTCATCAGAAATTAAATAGGAATTCGTAAAAAAACATCCACTGGCAAGTTAGCTTTAGCACCGACGCATGTGGTTACCAAGACTCAAAGTCTGAACTAATGACACTTCAATATCTACCCTAGCGTCATTTCGGTTCCCTGGCAGAATGTCGATGAACTTGATTCCAGCTTTATTCATTTTCTCAACGAAAGCCGTGGAGACGCCGGAATATCAATATACTACCGGAAACCGGATCCACTGTGAGCGATTTCACTTGTACCGTTTGTTTCATAATTCCTGTTGATGATTAGAGACAGTGAACTTCAACAAAGGTTTCAACTTCACAAGATAGGATGTGTAGAAATTGGATTGTTCTATTTCACACTCGAAAACGCTGCTTAAATGTGACCCGAGGCGCTATCAAGACCGCGCGATTACCGCGTATATCCTGGGCAACCAACCTGGATGGATTCGACAGACCTTCACTGTATCAAACAGCAAAGGTCAGCTGTCAGTTTTATTGGGGTTGGCACGGAAACTCAAAAGCTGTGTTTGACCTACGGTGACGATTTCAATACTTTCTGCTTGTAAGGGAGTAAAATTCATTGCTCAAGAAGCATACCATTTAGAAGGGGGAGAGTTGGGTATGTTGGGCAAGGAGCTTTTCATGTACATGTACAGTGTATCCGTTAATTCAGTACATCTTATGGAAATCGTTAAATCCAGTTGGGTTGGCATTTGTTTTCAACACAGGAGGTGTGAGAGAATCCAGCTGAATGGTTTTATTGTCGAAATGTCAATGGTATTAAACCTAGGATTTTTGACTTTTCGTTTTGGGACCCGCTATTATGAATTAGGATCGCTGTTGACTCCATTTTCGGTTTCAACACCTCAGAAGACGCGCACAGCATGTGCCACTAAGTGCTTTAAGCATAAATTGCCAGACAACCAGTTACTGTTTATAAAACAGTCAGAGAACTATTATTTCACTGGCCTGCAGCATCCGCTCAAAAGATTCGGTTGCGGTGACAGAGGACCCAAGGTATATTAGCAAAAATCATATTATTAGGAGGTTCAAACAGTTTTACCTTACCGCTTACACCAGTTCATCTGGTCCTCTGAGAACGTGACTAAAAACGTGCGTGAAAAAAACTTGTGCGGCCCCTGAAGTCCAGCCGGCCTGCAAAAATCCGATATTACAAACTTGCCTGATATCATTTCCATGATCTATTGACCGATTGACACACTTATTTGCGTAACACCTGTTAAACCACTTGTCCCTCACTCATTTACTCATTTTCTTTCATGAATTTCACATGACTTTTCCACACCATTTTTGTAGCGAATAAATTTGCAATATGTATATCAGGAGGATTGGACACAGAAAACTATATTCTTTCGTTGCCATCGTTCTTCACATGAAAACAAGCTGTATTCCAGTGTTGTTTTGCGACTGGTTGATCAAAATGTACTCAAACAACTGAGGATAGACTGAATGTACTTTCGAAGTCGTGGTCGTGCACTACGGAATGGCAAGCGAAACAGTTGGAATTTGTTTGTTAATGAGTCCGTTTCAGGAAGAAAGCGTCGCCTATCACTCAAGCTCCGAGACGAGTAAGATCAACCCAGTTCACCATGCAAAATGTGCTTTTAGGTACTTTGTTGATAAATACATTTAGTGTAATGAAACTTCAACGACAGTGTATTTACTATTTCTCGGACCTTGGTTCATTCACTGAACTACAGTAGTCAAGTTGGATTCAGAAACAATATTATTAGGTGGGTCTATAATGGAGTGAGCTATTTTGGAACCATGTTTTAGAATATGCAAAGATGGTTTCATAAAATAAATTTGTCCATCTGATTAAACACTATTATTAGGTGGGTCCATAATGGAGTGAGCTATTTTGGAACCACGTTTTAGAATATGCAAAGACGGTTTCATAAAATAAATTTGTCCATCTGATTTGATCATAACAAAAAGAAGGAAGGGCGCTGTTCACACGTATAGTAAATACAAGTAGAAACTATCAGAGTCTACTGCCACATCGCATTGTGCATTTTCGCATATTTCCTGAAATGCAATCCAAGTAAACATTGTTTGCTCAAAAGGGCTTCAGGAGTTGGTTTCGGGTATACCTTTATTGCAGACGTTTGTGAGGTCAAACATTGCTGATTCAATAACCGCCACGATTCCGTAGTTCATTACCCACGAAGACTTACGTTGTTGGCCTACAAGTACACTCTGCTTCCGGGTTTTTTCTGCATCCACTACTTACGATTTGTAATATCTCATGTGCTATGAGGAACAGAGTTGATACATTGGATTTTTCTGTTAGCCATCCCCAGGTTGGACAAAAGTGGCAACTACGACGTTGGTAAAAAACGACCGAAATAAATTCAAACGTAGTTAAAACAAGGACAGTCAAGGTAAAAATCTCTATAGCTTAATGGGACCCGGCACTGAATTATTCCCACGGAATGTCCGACAGGTCTGCAAATATAACACACACTGACGTCATTTATAGCGTACAGTTTCTGGTTTGAGCAGCCGAAACCTAATTGAGACTGGGTGATTCTATGAGAAGAGTAAGTGGTTATATCATAAACGTCGGCATTTACTGTTGACAGTAATAGAAGCGCGAACTAAATTAATTCAGCTCAACTCACTCAGGAGGTGAATTTTTTACCAATCAACCCTGAGAATTTCAAATAAGGCCATATAATAATATGGCGTGGAAAATAAGGCATTGAGAAATGGAGGTTAATTAAAAAAATCTATCCTAAGTTGGAATGTAGTAACCTCGCAGTCGGTTGGGTGAACTGAGTAGAATAATGTTACTATAATTTAGCGCGAAAAAGGACAGTGAGTTTAAGTGAAAATATGAATGCGATGTTAAAACTGCAAGGAGTAGACCCTATCGTGCACAGCTCTTTGTACCAAGCAAAATGCCCAAGACTAATTAATCCAATCAGGATGTCGCTAAAGCGGTCAGAGTATGTAGATGACAGACTGTGAGTCTAACAGACAGAATATAATCTTTCACTTTCAGCCCGAATAAGACAAAAGAGCCGTAAAGTCGTAGAAGAATGCCAGCGTGAGTAGTTTTTTCGGTGCGTACACAAGTACATAGTAATCCCTATTACACTGAGTACGAAAAGCTTGAAATACTTCTTTAGGTTATGTCGTCACAGAAACGTGAGACCCAAATATTTGCCTGAATAGCATGGAGGGACGTTGTGAAATATGCTGAATTGTGGAACAGAGAGTGGCGTATTACCTGGCTGTGACAAAGCTTAAAGTCACGTCGACACATTTTGCTTCATCTTCTTTGGGAGAACAGTAAGCAGACAGAATGTGAAGTTCAGTAACGCCGTCCTGAAAGAAGTTTGGTTTCAGAGAATCGGACAGCTGGCAACGGTTTACCTTCAGCAGTAATTAATGGTGTGATAAGGGGAAAGACCGTACCGTATTGTCGTGCGATGACGACAGATTTTCAGTAACCTACCGAATGTCTGCAAACACCTGCTCCTACAAAGAGAAGGTTGGCACAAGTAAATCGGTTTCTTCTCCGAAAGAGTGGACTCTTACGTGAGCCTAACACCTTCCTTTCGGTCAGGTTTATTTGATCATAGGATTTGACTAAAGAAGGCTCTAATCGTTGTCTTATGTAGTTTTTCCACCCTAGTTTTATCTCAGCCGGCAAGCAGCCATGGATAATTTAACTGTGTGTACTTTCGTATCACATCAGCCATCGTGTGGTGAAATCAGCCTGGTAGCCTCATATAGTGCACAGAGCAGAACTCGTAATCAACTCGTGCAACTGCCGACGCATCACATCTGTTCTCATTATTATATCTTAACGACCGGTTACTACGCGCTCTTATGTGGATCTCAGCTGTAAACAGTTTAGTCAGGCACACATGGAATTGACAGATTTGTAGCTTTACGGACCTTGTTCTTGTTTTTATTACAACCCTCAATGTGCAATCTAGTAGGTAGGTTCGTCAACCGCAAGTAATCGACATACTTTATCTACAGAGAGCTGCCGTCGATCTAAAATTCGGATACGTATATTAGTTGAGCATAATGCACATTCGCTATCCGGGCACTGTCAGCTACGGGATTCGGACACAGATGCAACTGTCACTGTGGGTTATACAGATTTTTTAAGACCACGAGTTCTGCAGCTAGAGCTTTCTAGCTGCAAGTGCGCCGCCTGAGTGTCCTCTTTCATGAGAGAATCGGCTGGTTCAATTACTAAATTTCCTTTGTTCGTGCTGCAAAATAAGTTTTTCTTGGATGACGCAAGGACATTTCTCTTTTTCATCACGAACAATACGAATACAGTCAAAACAGCGTAATTCTTCATGGGAAAATCACGACCATAGGTGACACCGACAGGTGACGCGTGGATAGAAAACTGTAAATCCTGAAATGATCACTGTCACTGCTCAGTGAGAGGCTTCTAGAGGGTAATTCAACCATTGATCTATTAGATATAGCGTATTCA